GCACTGAATCCTTTAACAACGAGCTTAAAAGGGTACAGCTCTGCCTCTTCTCCCCTTGCTTGGAGGAAATCTGCTCGTTACCCACCTGTACAAGTGCTCTACCCGCTAATTACACAACTGATGGCTTCAGTGTCCCCATGTGGGGGCGTTGGAAAGTCAGTTTGTTATTTCATGCTCCCGCAGTGACCTTTAGTGGTGACATTCAGCCATCGCAGTTTAAATAGGCCTTCAGGCCTGACTGGTGAGCAGCAGCTCAAGGGAGGTGGTGAAAAGCCACCATGGAGCACAAGATTCTGCTCTGTCCTTGGCTGCTTCCAATAACAAGGTTCAGGTTGTTTGTTTATCCCTTTTTTGTTGTTGTTGTTAATATGCTTGTATCTCCCTTCCTAGTTACCAAAGCTTTTGATACAAACTTTGTCAAATCCTAAGAATTATGCTGCATGTAGAGATACTGAACTCAACTGGGTTTTACTGAGGTTTTGTTTTTCAATGTTTAATTGCTAGTTATGCGGTTTGAAGGTGGAAGTGGATATGGAAAAGATTGCAGCTGAAATTGCTCAGGCTGAGGAACAGGCTCGCAAGAGGCAGGAGGAAAGGGAAAAAGAAGCAGCTGAGCAAGCAGAACGCAGCCAGAACAACGTGGCAGCTGAGGAGGAACAGGCAGCTAATAAGATAGAGGAGAAAAAAGAAGAGGAGAGTGCTCCAATGGAGACAGGTAACTGCCTTTGGAGACCAGCCTCAGAACCCTCAAAGGATCAGCACTGAAGTGTCTCTGTAGATGCTCAGCCAGGGGTGCCTCAGGTTTTTGCTGCTAGTAGGAAGAAAGGCTTAAGAATAATATTCAGAATAGTTAACTTCATCTTGCTGAACACGGTGTTTATTTTCTTCTCATTAAATTGCTCCCTTTTAAAAGGGGCGATGACAAGATTCTGCAAAGCTCTGTGTAAGGCTTTGTGTGTCATGCACCCAAAAAATGCTTTGTGAATCAAACTCAGTTCCTTTCTTGTGGCTGGAGCTCTGGGGCCAGGCAGCTGCAGGTGCCTCTCAGGACACTGTGTGGCAGAACCATGTCCATCCTCAGAACTGAGGGGGTTTGCAGAGCTCTGCCTGTCACTGCACCTTGTGACAGCAGGAACTGCTGTGGGGATACTCAAGATTTATTCCAAATTCTGTTTCTTCCTAAATTCTAATTGCACAGTTTAAATAAATATATCGGTATGTAAATGACACTGAGAAATCTGCCGTTACAGAAGAGCCTCACCCAGAGGAGAGTACAGAAAACCAGCAGAATGGAGAAGAAGGAACATCTACCCCAGATGATAAGGAGAGTGGGCAGGAGGGGGTGGACAGCACTGCAGAGGAGGGAACCAGTGACAGCAACACTGGCTCAGAAAGCAACAGTGCCACCGTGGAGGAGCCTCCTGCAGACCCCAGTGCTGAGGACAGCGAGAAGAAAGAATAAATATTGACTTACTTCATGTGTCTCTCTTTACTGAAGTACTGTTTTGATTTCAGAATGTGCTACAAGGCGTTTGTATCTTCCTTGCCTGTATCACTTGTCTCTAAAGGATACTGGGCTTTAGTAACTTGTCAGATTATCAGCAAAGCAACTTAGAGGGCCTTTAGAGGCAAAGGAAACCTTGCAACAGACAAAACCCCCTGTCTAAAGCTGTACAATTTGGAGGGGTTCTTCCTATAGCTTGGGGCTTCTTCCCTAGAAGAACACTGTTGGTTTTATATAAGAGCTCAGGGCTTCTCCCCAGTCACACAGGGCTGTGTGGTTCTTCAAGGCCTCCATCCTCTGGGTGTAGGTGGCCTTACCTGCAGGCCCTAGTGTCACTGCAGGACCCACTGCCCCAGGGCTGAGGAACCAGGGAAAGGTCATTGGTACCTGCTGGAGCTGAGAAAGTTCCTGAGGCCTTTGGAAGTTGAGATTAGTGTAAAGCAAAGACACGTCTGCTGCAGCTGCCCAGCTCTGCTTTTCAAGAGAGCTTTCTGCACTTGTAAGCTGTGCTCCTGTGTGAGGCTAAGCTGTGGTCTAGGGGATTTTTTGTGTAATCCTTGTTTTTTATAGTGTGGCTTCTACAGGGACGTAAACTTGCTCATGTTCTGCGTGCAGCATTTCTGGAGATGATTTCCAGAGGACTGAGTTCAGCCTTCTTGCAGTAAATGACATAATCGTGGGGGTTTTCTCTGTGATGCAGGATTCCTTTCAACAACAGTCTTTGCTTTTCTGTTCCAATTTAACTCATTTGGTACAGACATTATCCTGGTATGACCTCAGCCTGGGACATTGTAAAGTATAGAGCAGAGAGCATTTAAACCCTGATCTCTGAGCAGGCTGTCACTAATATGCCCCAAATGGTAAAGAAGAGCAGTTTTGCCCACCAGGAGCTTTCAGAAACCCTGGGAACTCTACAGATGTACTGAAAAGGTCACATTTTGCCCTATATAAGCAGAAGCCCAACTGAATTGCAACAAGAGACACAAGCTCTTCCATGACTTGACACCTGTAAGAGAACACGTGATGCATTTGTTTCAATAACTTAGTATGTTTTTATGGAATAGTGGGTATATCAGATGGTAATGTTTTTTAAATCCTTTTGTTGTTTTTTTTTAAACAGTCTCAAAATAAAATCCAACTTGTTCGGTTTTTTAAAACTTAAGAGTGGTTTGGTTCTTGTCTTTTAAGGTGATGCCTGTACTTTATTTAGGGCTTTCATGAGCTGTTCTCCATTTTAAGCCCAGAAGAGAATAAAAGCATGGGATGAATTACTGACATAAACTACATACAAGAAGTTAAGCTGCAAAAGCCCCTTAGAAAACCAAAGCAGAAATTCCTGAGTTGCTCTAGGCTTTTGTTAAATGCTTGGCTCTGTCTAGAAGGATTTCTGATGGTGGCTGTTGACTTAAAGCCAATGAATGGGAGAATTTACAGTGGAAATAAGTATTTGTAACCTTGCAGTTACTTTCTGTAAGATTTTAACTACCTCCCTCCAACCTGTCAGAAACAATTTCCATGTTACTTTAAACCAAGTAAAATCTCCTACCTAAAGGGCTGAGAGGTATGAATATACAGGTTAAGTTGCATTTTAGTTTGTTTCCAGCCATTAAAATGATTTTAGAAAAATACATCTTGAGGCATTTAAAAGAAAGGGGGGAGTTACCTAGTGACCCATTTTGGTATTACATTTCATAATTACTGGCTTTCTGGCACAGTTAAAAGAGGAGGTGATTTGTCCCACAACTCATTACCCTGAGAAAACTCACATCACCAAAAAACAACAGAAGGTTGAAAAACATGAAAACGCAGATTTTCATTGATATTCTCATGCTGTGGGTTAACAAAAAAACACCACACAAACAAAACCAACTTGTAACTGAGAAACCATTAGTGTTTGTGCTGAAGTTGGGAGTTCTTCCTTAAGATCATGTTATTCTAACTCTAGAACCCATAAAAAGACACAGTTGTTGCCCTTATGTTTAGAGCTCAAGGTCTATTGACCAGCTGCCTGGCTACCAGCCATCCCTGAAAGCCAGCAGCTCCTGCAGCTCCTGAGGAGCCAGCAGGCCCACCTGGAGCTCCTCAGCAGGACCTGAAACCCACCCACGACGGAGATGGAGCAGATGAAGCCCCCCAGCTTGCTGTGCCCTTCCTGCTGGAGTAATCTCTCTGCTTCCTCTGTTTTGTGGGTGCTCTGCTGGGCAGGTGGATGCAAGCCCCTGGGCCTCCTTCCTCTGGCTGTGCTGAGTGTTCCCTGGATCCTGCAGGGGTGGGTGCAGGCTGGTGGGGTGGGCACCAGCAGGGTGTCTGTACTGCTGGGGACAGGCTGGGGTCTCCTGGGGGGGCTGAGCCACCTCCCCTGGGTGCTGAGAGCCACACTGTGTCCTGCTGGTAGAGGGGACAGAGGAGGGGTGTTTTCCAATGGCCACTGCTGCCCAAAGAGTTCTTCTGGTGGGTAGAGAGGGAGAGCAGGGGATTCTGCACTGGGGTCCTGGCCCTGCTGGGTGTTCCTGTGCCTCCTGCAGCCCCCAGGACAGCGCAGGGGGGGTGTCAGGGCTGGCACTGCTGCACCAGAGCCCAGAGATCAGCTCCAGGCTCCTAGGCACGGTGGGTGTTCAACCAGCCCGGCCTCCCCCCGGGTCCTGCCTCCCCCTCCGCTCCCAGCCGGAGCTGCTGGAGGCGCCTGCATCGCCCACCAGGGCTCTCAACCAACTGCTCTGGCTCCTCAAGCCCCCCCTGCTCGCAGAGCGATCCTGGCAGCGGTTCCTGCTGCTCCCTCTCCAGTGGGGCTTGTGCTGATCAGCTCAAGACCCTGCCCGGGTTGCTCTTGTCTCACTGGTTTTGTTCTCAGTTCCCTTCTTTCACTTTGATGCTTCTTTTTCTTTCCATGGCCTTCAAGGGGTTTTTTTGAAGTGGTTTTGCAGTTATTGGGTTGGTGTCTTATATTGTTGTAAACGATCACGTACAGCTTCACTTGTGACTTACAAAAGTCCTTGATTTCTGTAAACAGCTAGTTTCAATTTGCTTCTTTTTCACTCTATTCTCTTAAGGCAAGAAAAAGCCACTTTAAGCCTGGCACCAATTCCAAGAACAATAAAAAGCCAAATCAGAAAGAGTGACAACAACAGAAAACAAATGAAAAAACACAATATGATTTGGAAATTATTGGTTTTTAAGCCCAGGGATGAAGTCTGCCAGATCTGTGATACAGAAGACTGCATGAGCTCTTGGAGAAAGCTGGGGGTGCTGAGGGGCAGCAGCTGTCAGGAGCTTGTGTCTGTGTTTCTGCCTCCCTGGGTATGCTTCCCTCATCACAGCTCAATTCCTCCTGGACTGCAGGTTCAGGAAGTTGCTTTAGTGCAGAGCAGGTGCCATATGGTAAACCTGCCTTTTTCTTTTTTTTCTCCCAAAAAGAACTTGAGAGAAACCCCATCACCCTGAGGTGACACAGGCATGAAGACAGAGAATTCCCCACAGCCCTGAGCGTGTGCCCATGCCCCTGAGTGGAGCCATCGGCTGCTTCCTCTGCTGGGAGGATAAGGATCTTCTAATAACCTCACAGTGAGACCACAGTCATGAGATTATTTTTCAGGGCATCCCCTACAACTGCTTTAAGAACTCATTTGGGTGAGGAATTCCAGCTTAGTACCAATCTTAATGTCAGGAATTTACTCACAATTTCACTTCTGCTATTTTGTTTTCTTGACGAACAGCAGTGACCAAGCTCCCACAGAGCAAACCTGCTGACTCCAAACATGACCTTTCCCCACCTGCTTCCCAAATGCCAGCTCAGGAGCTCAAGAGACAAGAGGGGGACTGGGCAGGAGGCACAACCAGAAGTAGGAGACCCTGAGTGTCTTAGGTTGGCACTGGTGGGCACAGCAGAAGAGCAGAGGAGACGTTGAGTCCCTCCTTTACGTAAGAGAAGGGACACTACTGGGAAGTGGGCAGCTGTGGAAGGTTCACCCTTTACTCACCAGTCTGGGTGACTCTGGCTTCCTACAGTGAAGGGGAGAAACCTTTCCTCATAGTTCAGGTCAGCATAAGAGCAGAGCTGGGAGCAGGGAGGGAGCTGGTGTTTTCCTTCAGTGCTCCATGCTGTCTCATCCTGTGGCAGCCTGCAGGTAGGAGAGATCAGTAGGTGACACAGAACCTACCATACCTGGACTTAACTGTGATGCTTTTACTTATGTGCAAAACCCTCCCCAGTGCTCAGCCTGAGGCTGGACCGCAGTTCTCCCAGTTTGCCCACCTGGAACGGCTGGTGCTGCTCAGTGCTGTGAGTGGTTGCTGCCAGAGCCCAAGGCGGAGCTGGTGGTAGCCCTGGGGAGTCTCCATCTGCAGAGAAAGGCACCTCTCACAGTCTGTTTTCATTTCAGTTCACTTAAAGCAAAATTAGTGGAAAATACAGGAAGGCTTTCAGTTCAGGACACAAAAACATCTCTGCTGTTCTCAGGATGAACAACACCATGCCGAGGTGCAGACAGGTCTGCTTTCTAAGATCATGCAGCCTGTGCACCCTGGCCAGGCACCAGCTCCTGTGGGGCTCTGGGATCCTTCCCATCCTGGGACACCCGTGTGGTTTAGATGAACGAAAGATGGCAAAAAGTCCTGTGTTACAAAGATGTGACATGCAGGAACTGAATCCCCATGGCATATTTCATTGCTGAGTGAGTTGCAGTTTAATGCCAGATCAAATCAAGATTACGTTTCGATTCAGTTCAGCAAGTTCAATGTTCCAGTTCAAGCAGAACCAACCTGAACTGAAATCTTTCTTTCTGAGCTAACTTCCTGTGGAATTTATTAGGAACTGTGTTTTCTTTTGACAAGTTGTATCGATGAGCAACTACCAACCAGCTCACGTGCTGTGACCTGCACAACAAATGTTCATCACCAATTTCCACTGCTCTTGCTGTGCAGATGAGCAGGGTAACCTGGGCTCTAACCTAAGACTGAAAATACTTGGTAACTTGATTTTTTTTATGGTTTATTTAAATTTAGGGTAACAAATGTGTTCTGGCAAGCCAACAACTCAGTGTGGCTGTCTTGGGCACAGACCAGACCTGGTGCTGTTAAAGCTGTGGGGCATTTGTTCATTTTTGTAAAAGGCAGCTTGGAAGGACGTGTTGGAGGAAATATGTCAAAGAGACAGAATCACTGTGACATGAAACACTGCAAAGACACACAAACAAATTAAGTAAAGCTTTAAGAAATGTTTTGAGAACTCCCTAGGTATAAAACATGACTGTACAAGAAGATTCTGTGTCATAAAAACACAGTAAATTGTTTACTTTAAAACATTCCCATTCTTTTTCAAGGAAAACAATTTGCTTGAACTGCCTCTGACAACACAGAACTTGGCATGGACTGAAACTTAGAAGTTAAACCTTGGGAGCATGTGCAAAAAACAAACTGCAAACCATGTACCTGCCTCCTTTCTCTCCTTGTCTTTGGCTTCAGCCACCAGGGATGTGAGGATGGATTCACGGAGCTGCCGCTGCAGCGGTGAGAGCAGAGCTGGGTGGGCTGTGCCCCCCTCCTCCACACCCCCCCTCTCCAGGCAGCACTGGGACTGTTGCAGGGCTTGACACCCACCATTTCTAGGTATTCTGCCTCTACCTGAAGGAAGCCTTTCATCTCCAGTCCTCAGAGGAAGTGGTTACAAGATAAAGCTCTCAAAGCAGAGTACCTGCCTGGATAATTGATGAACAAAAGAAAACAAGAGCAATAAATAGTTGCAGAGATGTGACCTGCACCTGCCTGCCCAGATGAATGTGCTGAAATGCCAGCTGTGTGCGGAGAGTGCTGGGGACACTGCGGGTCACACCTGGGACACCCAACAAAAATGCTGATAACTGATAACTCAAATCATTAACACAACTTATTTGCTCCCTGTAATACATGTCCCATGGAATGGCCAGAAAATTGAGTTAGACACTGATTACTCTGAGAAGGACAGTGGTTCCTGAGAGCTGACAGGAGCTGGCTGACACAGAAGCCTTTTATAATAGCTGTTTAATTACACAGTTATTTTTCTGATGCAGAGTAAATATATTATCTCAAAATGAGCCTCAATATAACATAGGTAGTGTACATTCTCCATTGTTTCAATGTGATGAAGCAGAACAGTGCTTCTCAGACACCTTCTCAGGTGTCTCCCAGCCACATTCAGGTTGCCTGAGTTGTGTTCTCTCTCTTCCACAAGATGCCAAAGGAAACACTTTTGAGACACCTTGGAAGGAAAGTGACTTGATGAGGAGCTGCTGATGTTTCTGCCTGTTAGAGGAGCCTGTTCCAAGAGTGGAGGTCCACCTCGGACAGCCACAAAACCAAAGCCACTGGTTTGAATTGATTGATTTGATCCCTTTGGGAACCAAGAGTGGATGCTCCTGTCAAGGCAGGAACTGGAGCTGAGAGTGCTGAAGGGTCCTCCTGGGGCTACATCCTGAGGTCTGAAACCCCTCAGAAAGGTGATGGTGAGGAAGGGATAGGACCACAAATGTGCAAAACCTTCTGAGGAAGATGGTGGGTGCTGATACTCAGCAAACAGTAACAAAAAAACACCCAAAGCCAGAAGGGGGGGCAAGAGGAGGGGAAGTCCACTTACTCACTGGAGCTGCTGATAATCTAGAGAGGACACTGTAAGCACATGGGAAAAGGGCAAAGGGATGCTGAGCACTGGAAGTCCTGCACACTGACATTTTTCAGGTCTTTGCCGAACACCTTCCCCAGAAGGGTCTGGTGGAGGACATGGGGATCCTGCCCGTTTCCTACAGCACTGGCTGCTGGGGGATGCTCTGGCAGATAAAGCAGGATTTGCTGTGGAGAAGAGAGATCACAAGAAGGCAACTCTTTCCTCTTCTCTCTTCACCACAGACCATTTCTCACATGTCAGTGCAAAAGCAGAACCTTCTTCATTTTCCTGAGGCTCAGTAAAAAGTGTCTGTGAGGAAGCACCTGAACGGCCAAGTGCCCGAGGGCAGCACAGCATATAGTGCAGCTCTTCTGGACTGGTAAGACAAGAGGAGGAGGAGGAGGAGGGTCTACGAAATGTCCGAGACACCAGGGCGTGTCAGGAGCTTCTTGCAGAGGTGCAGGAAGTATAAAAGCCCAAGTTTCCCAAAGAGGGTCCCTGGCAAGAGCTGCTGCATGGGAACAGATGATGCTCTTCCTCACCTTGTGACTGCATTTCTGTTTGAAACAAGACCATGGATGGTGGTGAGTACCTGTTCTGCAGCCTCTGGCTGTGTCTTCAGCTTTATTAATAATGCCCAAATTCATGCTCTGTGACACAGGGATGATGCACTTTTTGAACAACATAAGAAGTTCTCCTTTGAAATAATTAAGATGTAAAAACTTGGCGGTTCATGCCAAATCACAGAGGGCTAATCTGGTACCACTGGGAAAATAACCCACTTCTTGTGTGCTGGTTCAGCCCCCAGACTAGCCCTCCTTTTCCAAGCAGGGATTTCCCTGGATGGAGCCCAGGGGTGTCCCACAGGCAGGGCCTGAGAGTGAAGCCACAGACAGTGCAGCTGGGCTGAGCCCTGCGCAGAACCAGGGAGTAGAGCTCTGGTGTCCTGGCCCTGAAGGGGACACTGGGGAAAAGGGACACTGGGGAATGCAGAATGCTCCAGTGGTGCAAGCTGGAGGGACTGGGAACAACAGGACACCTGGGAAGAAGCAGGGATGGGGCAGAGGGAATGTTCTGCTGCATGCATCCTTGCAGCTTCTAGCTATCAATGGCTTAGGAAATCCCTGGATCTTTAATTCCCTCCATCCAAATCAACACATCAAACCCCAGCTGGGCCCACTCACCTCATTTAAACTTCTGGCCTCCACAATATCATGCAAGTGCTTTGCAGGTTCTTGTTTTAAGGGGCTCAGTACTGGAGGGTAGAGCTGTTCCAACTTGATCTAATTGTATGACACAAAACAGAAAGAATTAGCAAGAATCTGACAAAAAGGGTATGATTGTATTTCTGCTTTAGGTTTTTTGCCCTACAACTATATTACAGAGATATATTCCAAAAGAAACATTTCACAGCACTGGAAATTTTTTTTTACAATTATGTAGGAAACACGATAAAGGTCTTTTCCAACCAAAATTATTCTATGATTGGCATTCTTAAGAACCAAATTTCTGAACTTGTTTCTCTCTGCTTGATTTGTCTTTCCTCAAAGGAGTTGAGGCAGATGAGTAACTTTCTTCTGTAACTATGAACACATGAAACAGAACCCTGACTTGGTTTCTGTGGGTCTGATCACTCCTGAAATGATGTTGTCTTCCTCTACAGTTGTAAGAAGCAGAGGGGATTGGGGAGAGGAGAGAGTAGGCACTGAGCCGTTAACTGCCAATAATCATTATATCATTGAGGTATGATGAATTTTTCTCAGAATTAACCGGTTCTTTCCCCAAAAGCTTACTATACTGATGGTGAAGAGGCACCAGAAACTGGTACATCTTTGAAGACATAAGCAGCACATTACTCACTGCCTATGCACATGCCAAGGGGCTCCAGACTGAAACTTCTTGCTTTGCAGTTCTGGCCAACGGAAGAACAGTCTCTCACCAGGAGGGTTTAGCCAGAGCAGGTTTGCTCAGTTTTGCCCATGCTCCCTAGAGCATTCCCACTCCTGCTTTTCACTTGGTGCATTCCTCAGCCCCAGCAGCTGGCTCTGGCTAAAGCCTGACCTGCTGGGGTAGGAGCTGACCTAGAGCTTCATTCTGCAGGATTCTGAACACCTGTAAACATCCTACATGGTTGTGCTCCTGCTCCTCTTTCCTCCTCAGTGCAGACTTTCTGCTACCACATGCTTCTTACTGTTAGACGCTTTTCTGGGCACACCTGGGGAGATTCACTGCTGCTACAGCTTCTTTTAATTTGCTTAAGATCAGCTGCTGATGCTGAGGGACATTCATATACACTGGGTGGGATTCACCTGTCCAAGCGTAGCGACCGCTTTGGGATGAACTGCACCCAAAGGCCTGGACCCTGCCTCAAAACACCTGCTGCCTTCCCTTTGCTATCCAGGGAGCCTTAACACCTGGCCAGATGTCAAGGGCTGGAGTTCTCTATGCAGAAAGATTTTTAATTCCCTCCCTCCAAGCCCTGCCATTGGCAGCAGAGACTAGACCCCTTCCCTCTTTGATCTGCACAATTCTCCATTCCACCTTTCCCAGGTCTCCTTGCTCTTGAGAGGTGCAGGACACCCCAGCATCCCCACCTGAGGAACAGGGGCTGACAGGGGCTTTAGAAAGCTCTAAATCATTTGCTGTAATGGGGTTTTGTTGACTTTTTATAATTGAGGTTTCTAGTTCAACTGTTTGTGGGGACTTCTGAGGGGTTTTTTTTCCTTAATATTTTGAGGAACAAAACTTTAAGAAAATACCCACAGCAGAGAACTGCCAGAGGAGGAAAAAAAAAGAAAAAAAAAAAGAAAGAAAAAGATAAGACAGCTACCTAAAATTGCCTATTCAACTCCAGAGCATGTCTCATTACCTCTCTGCAACTCATTTTCTTCTCCTCCCTCCCCCTGCCAGTCTGGACCCCAAAGAGCACTGCAGGGAGAAGCAAGTTTCATCCAGGCTGCCTGAATCTGGTGACACTGGGACATGCTCCCCAGACTGGTGTGGGAGGACCACGAGGCTGCTCTGCCTCTGGCTGTGCCTCCCCAAATGTGTAAGCTGAGGTGAGGGGACAGAAAGAGAGAGAAACAGTGGAAGCTTTTTTAATATTGAAAAATTGTTTTGACATTTAAGACACTTGAAACAGCAACCGAGATATGGGGGGAAAAAAAGGGTGAGAAATCTTCAAAGGAATGATACTGTGCTGAACTGTTTCAGGATCGATGGTTGAGTCACTTTATCAGTCCTATCACGTTAGTCACGTCACAGTGTGTTAAGAAAGAGAATAGAACAGCAACTCACCAGGGCTGCACACTCACGACTTTACAGAGTAAGGCCTGGGCTCGTCCTGGGGCTTGAAAAGGAGGTGCAAAAGAAAGCAGAGGCAGGTGGTACTGTGCTGAGGGGGCAGACCCCTGGGCTGGCCCTGCTGGGGCATCGCCTGGCACCGCTTCCCTCACAGGAGGTGGCTGGAAACCGCAGGCCCAGAGACGCCAAGAGTAGTGCTGATGGACTGGGATTTAGCTTGGTGCCTTTCCAGTGGGGACTGAGAAGGGCACTTCACCCCTGCCTCCTTGTAGGAAGCTAATTCCCTGCGAGGCCTCAGCTCCTGCCCATGTGGGTGAGGTGGGCCAGAAGAGGTAATCATTCCCCACCAACTCCAGGAGTCCCCAGGAAACCAGGCTAGTAAGAAGGTGGAACAGAAGACCAAAGACTTCAATGGCTGGGGTTGGCCCCCATGCCTGTATCCCAGAGAAATGACTGCCTAGCCTTGCTTCAATTCACATAGCAGGTTTTAATGATTTGGGCTTTTGGTCTATTTCCTGTGTGTAACACACACAAGTTAGATCAGCAGCTTGAAGGGGGAGATGGCTGCACCAGATCCTCACCAGACCTCTTCCTGCAGTCTGGGACTGGTCAAAGTGAAAGCCATCAAACAGAAAATACAGACAGAGGCATTTAACCAAGCCTCCCCCCTTACTCCTCAAGCCCAGCCTTGGCATACTCTGCTCCTGACTGCCAACTGACCTGGCAATGCACTCTTGCACTTTTCAGATTCCCCCAGGAAGACTCAGAGAAGGTGAGGGGTGTATGAGTACCCAGCTGCAGCAATATAAAAAACAAAAATAAGGGGGAGAAGGTGAGGCACAAACTTCTACAAGACAGAGTGGGAAGCTCACAAACAGCTCTAGGGAGAAGAAGTGTGAGGTTTTCAAGTGTGGCTGAGGATCTCTCACCCACACATCACCACTCATATAAACAAGTCTCCGCAATCACAGACACCAAAGTAACCGTTTTTGTTATTAGTGACACTACTGCATGTGACACTGGCACAATGGTTGCAGTTACCTGAAGTAGTAGAAGTTCATCCTCTCAGTCCAGTGCCATACCTGAGCAGGGCTGGGTGCCAAGGAGCTCTGCAAAGAAACAGAACAGAGCTGTGGACATCTGACTGCTAAGCACAAGAGGGGTAAAGAATCAGTCACATTCATGAACAAACAGGTCAGGAGAACACCACACTCCCTACAAGAAACAAGAAGCTGAGAGCCAAAGGCATCTCCTGCTTCTGTCCCAACTCAGTAGTCCTGGGCCAGGCAATCAGCAGCAAAGTGAGGGGCTGCAGCTTGGGAAACTGTCCAGTACCCGGACGGGTATCCTAGGATGAGCAGCACAATGCTCAGAACAGCAGACACCAGCTCTCCCTCAAGGAAGGGCACATGTGCTCATGCCAGAGTAGAGACCAGGACTTTTTCACAGTTATCAGCTCTCACTGGAGCTTAAGCAACTTTCAGTCACAACTGCCTGAGGAAGATGCTGGTAAGTGCTTTAAATAGAGCACAGAGAAAGCTTTCACTGGCCTCTGTGCCCTGCTAACCACAGCAGGAAGAACTGCTTGTCTGAGATTGCTCGGACAAGTATCACATCTGGCTCTGAGTTTATTTTTTTTCTCCCAGCTGTGAGCATCCTGCAACTCCATGTCCAAAGAGACAAGCAGTAAATTTCAGCCAGCTTCAGCCCTGTTTACCCTGCAGGGCTCAGAGCCTTCCTGTTCTGCAGCCCAGCCACCACCCTGCCAGGAACACCTAAGCCAAGCTTACTGCACTCACAGCTCTATGTTCTTAGGTGGGTTGAGTGGCACAGGAGACTGGCTGCTGACTGGCTGCAGGAGAAAAAAATTATGTACAAAATAAAAATGGTTACACTATGCAGTCCTTAGCTATCAACCTTCACAGATAGAACAGGAGGGCCCAGACTCCTGAGGCAGCCTATGCTCTGACAGTAATTTGTTATGTGGCCCTGGGTTATCCTGTTGGCATCTTCATTGGGTTTGAGCTCACCCAGCTGAGAGGGGCTTGGCAGGGTTGAGAATGCCATGGTCAAGTACACTACCACTGCTTTTCACAGTGAGCATCATGTGGAAACCCCCACTCAACCGCTAACACTAACACAGTGTCTCCTTCTCCTGCAGGTCAGCAGCTAAAGGTCACCCTTATTTTCAGCCTTCCTCTAATTTTTCAGGTAAGAAGTTAAATACAACATGGTTGAAATACAGCTGCATTTGTGTTGTGGGTAGAGGGAGATCTTGAAAACTCTGACAGGCAAAAAGCAGCCACCCACAGCCCTGTGGAGGTGTGGGGACATGGCTGCTGGGAGGACAGGGCTGCTCTCCCCTGGGCCCAGCCCGTGCAGAGGTGGGCAGTGAGCCACAGAGCTGTGCTGGAAACCAGAGGAAACACTAACAATAATGAAAACAAAGAGAGAACAGAAACAATGACACATACAGTGATTTTAAGACAGTCTGGGCTGTTAGAACCAAGTCCCCTTCTAGCACCAAACTGAGCATTTTCAGGAAAGACAAAAGCCTCCCATGCTGACAAGCCAGCTCGCCGCTCCTCACCAACACCTGCTGAAGTGCTGGGGCTGGGCTGAGGGCAGCACTGGTCAGCCCCAGGAGGAACAGTTCAGCATCTTCGTCCACCTGTTCCTGCTCTGGGTACATCTGAAGCACGAAGGAGAACCCAAAGCCCCAAGTTCTGCTCCTGAACTGGGGCCAGGCCCTGGCACTCACATTCCCACAGCTACTGGAGCAGCCTCGGCCACAGCACCCAGCTCTGCGAGAG